ACGTAATATCTTCACAAAATTTGGTATAAGTTAGAAATTGCTTAGATCAGATCACTATAATAGCAGCTATCATATTACCTGAACGATCGGAGTAAAGTGCTTGCATGGAAAACTTTTTCATTTGACAAGATATCTTCACGAAATTTGCCATGGGTTATTGTCAATGGGGTATATCCAAAGAAATTGTTTTGATCAGATTAATATAGCATACATCTGCCATAAAAACTGAACGATCGGAATCAAGTTATAATCATCAATACCTCTTTAATAATTTCCACTTCCAAAAGTATACTAATCATTACCGCAGGAGTTAGAAATGGGCACATATTAGGTAAATTGTACCTCCATATGCACAGAATGAAGAAACTTTGTGTTGTGACATCTGTGCGTAGCCAGTACTCGATTAATTAAGACGAATGTACTCAAAATTCCAAGAAATGGACAACAAATTTAAAAATTTAATGTGTTAGTTTAAAAAGAAAACGTTAAAAAAATGTACTGAGGACCACGATTTGGTATATCTATTTCTCAGATTAGGTACGGTTTGTCTTAAAGTCTTACTTCAAGACCTCCCATTTTCAATAAATCTACCGATCCATTAGGGACTCTCCAAAAAATGGTGTGTTACCTTAAGTCCTTAAACTGTGTTTTTTGGAATAAATGTTTCATGCTAGAACTATATGAGACGTGGGAGGTTGTCGATTGATACAAATTTTTTAGATCATTGAACTGCCGTCCAGGATCTAATTTTTATACCTAAGATATGTGTATATAATATTATATATACTAGATATTATATTATGAACATTTATTTAATGATGCTATCTTATCTATTTATACTTGATATATAATCATCCTTTAATGTTTCCCCGTTAGTCATTAATTTTTGACTTTCAACACGGAACGAATATACTTATACCTATGTACATTTATTATATTTTATAAAGTGTTCAAGGTTATGCCGTGATATAGCCGCCTTCGTCAGCAAATGTTTGGGACACAAACAGAAAATTAATAAAAATAATTTTTTAAGAAAATCATCTTCTCCGATGAGGCTCAGTTTCATCTGGGTGGTGCGATAAATAAACTAAACTGTCGATTCTGGTGCAAAAAATTATCAATTATGAACAACCATTACACTCACCTAAATTAACACTTTGGTGTGGTTTTTTGGTCTGGTGGAATCATCGGTATTTACTTCTTTCGAAAAGAAGCTGGTGACACCGTTACTGTCAATGGAGAGCGGTATAGATCGACGATAACCAACTTTTTATGGCCGAAGTTGGAAAAAGTTGATCTTGACAACATCTGGATCCAACAAGACGGGACTACGTGCCACACAGCACTTGCAACAACCGAATTATTTCAAGAAAAGTTTGGAGAATTGATAATTTCAAGAAATTGTGACATTGAA